CACATTAAGCACAGAGACACGCACGCACACTCACAGTCAAGCATCCAAAACTTTTCTCAGTATGATTTTTTATTTTTTGGTTTGTTCTTTACCTTTGGTGAACTCTTTATTACTGTTGATTCAGAATTGATAGTTACAGGAGTGACCTTCACATTGTTGAAAAAGATTTGGATTTTAATTGAATGGTGTTCTTTTAAATTAAATTTTAATGATCAATAAAAATCAAGAGCATCAAAAGTCTTCAGCTTGGGAAATTAGAACAATTTAATGAGCAAATCAGAATGATTTAAGGCTCATATGACTCTAGACTGGAAGAATGAAGGAAAAACTGCAGTGTATTGGCTGAGGAATCATCCAGCATCTAGTTATCCTAACCAGGCGGGCACACCCTTTGACTCACTGATAAGTACAAATAAATCTATTTTAATTTGAATGACCTTGCAGATCATCTTTGCTTGTTTGTACAAGAGCAGAAATAATCAATCATCTTGCGTCTCTTTCGTGTGAGTTGCAGCACACGTGAGCAGTCATCACACAATCAGGAGCGCCAGTGATGAGCGTTTGATTTTTGTATACGTCAATCTGTCATCAGGATGAGTCTCTTGAAGAATGACTGCTGTCCCGCCGTTCTGAGCTCTGCGCAGATTAAGCTATCCACTTTTGGCCGACCTTATAATAACAGTCATAAGCATTTATGCGCTAAGAGTCTCAGCATATGGAGCTGATCACCTCCACAACTGGCAGCCGTGGGTCACGTTACTGATGAGTAATTTAGGGAGCCACGGCCTCTTATTCTTAACTTATTCTTAGCTTAATTTTTCTTCCGTCTCAGTTTCTGCTTTCTCTCTCCCTTTCTTGACTTTCAGAGGAAAATATTTCATTAGCGTCTATTTATAGAGCATGTTTTAATGGGCAGCACCAAGAGGAAAAAAGACCTTGAAAATGCCCAATCAAAGAACCTGCTTGTTTCCTTCAACCGCCTATTATGAGTGACCTTTCTGTGAGAATAGGTTTGTACTCCTGAGTGTGATTGCGAGGATGACTCACAGAGGTGTACTGATGGGTAAATTGTGCCTGTGATCGTCGGTTGGTCTACCAAGTTTAGCGTGGCTCTTAGCAGTATGTGTGATTGAAGAAAATCCATCTTGTCTGAGGCAGAGGTGTATATATTTCAGACCAAACCTGCTGATGAATCAGGCTAACTCATGCTGTTCTTCCTAGTCTATCTTTATCTTTTTTTAATTTGATAGATTTTATTTTTTAGCTTGTTGCTATATATATATATATATATATATATATATATATATATATATATTTTTTTTTTTTTTTTTTTTTTGTTACTGAAAAAAGGGAAAATCTTCTACCAGTTGAAACCTTACTTGAAAGTGTTCACTTAGCTGATGATTGATTATAAACTGTGTTTGGAATGCTGTCCTGAGAGAGTTCATAAGATCCTCAAGCCTGAGGCTCCCTCCTGTTTGCAGGGTGAGAGAGGAGTTTGAGCTCGGGTAGATCTCAAGAACTCCTCTGCTTATTTATGGCTAATGACAAATTAGGGATTACTATTGAGAGAAATACTGCTAACTAAGAGCTCATGTTTGGTGCCAATTTGCTTTGGTCAATTTACTTATGTCACATGTCTTTGAACTGTGAAAGGAAACCCACGTGAGCACTGGGAGAACATGTAAACTCTGCATAGAAATGTCAACTGGCCTGGTAAAGACTTCTAAGAACCAGTGACATTCTTGCTGAGAGGCAAAAGTGCTAATCACTGGGCCCCTGTGCTGCCCTATCAAGGAAAAAAGGATGAGTAGTAGGGTTGGAAGGGGGATTATTTATGATAAGAATAACTGAGGTAAGAAACTGTGGTTATTTATGGTGAGTTAGGAATCATCTGATTGGTGAATCATGTGTTACCTAATCTGGGACAAGCCATGGTCAATCATAAGCACGCGATCCTCTCGAAATTAGATTATAATTAGTTTATTAAATATGTGTTCCAGTAAAGACCTTTTACTATGTTGTTCAAATTTTGTGTTTCTATTTATAGATATAAAAAAATAATAATTTTGCCACTTCTCTAATTCTAATAATTACAAAAAATAATAAATCTGCAGTAAAAAAGTCTAAAAAAGACTAAAATCACAAATTTGTGTAGTTTATGGAGTGAACCACAACACTTTTGTGGGGAGGGGAGAAATTGTAAATTAAATTAAATGTAAAATTTTAAATGTCCTAACAATATCTATACTGAAATGCTGTCAGTTGAATTTGTTTTTATTTGTTTTGAGGTTATCTGATTTGAGTCTTATCAGACCCCCCTAATTAACGCTTTCTCCCCCCTAAAGGATATCAAAACGTGAATGGAGGTCTGCCATTTAATAATTAAGAAATAGTTTGCTCTGATCTTTATCTTAAATAATATATAAAATTAAAATAATAGATAACCTAAATATTCATTTGACCACCCCTGTAATGGTTCATACCATTGTGAATGCATGTTTACGGCAAAAAATATTAATTTAGTAGTTTAAAACTGGCAAATCAAGAGCATCAACAGACAGCGCAAGTGTATAAAAAACATGTTTCTTGTAAAATAGGCATCTGTAGGTGTCCATGAAACTAGATGCATAGTTTGTGTTTTATTACACACTTGTGTAATAAAATATTTATTACAAAAATATTTGCAGTCTTTCATGGTCATCCATTAGTCCAGGTTTATTTAATATTACAAATGTTATTGAGATCCACTCAATATCCCTCAAAACATTGAAAACATAAGTTTAATTGAGACATAACATAATCGAAAAACTTGATTAACCCCAATCGTCAATGTATAATTCACAGCCTGGTATAGATTGATTAAATATTAAATGTTTTTATTAAACTAAAGCCTTTGGGCAGAATTCGCTATTATTTTTATCACATTTAACAAAATGATACGATAAATCTGTCGGTTAATTCTCTTTTTCACTCTTTTTCTCTCACTCAATCTCTCTTTTTTTGTGTGTATCATAAACACCACTGCTTTATCTCAGGTTGAAATGCAACAGTTCAGCTGATCGCTGGTTTCTCTCACCTCCCAAAGCTCCAGGCCAATCGCCTTCACGTCCTTCCAGGTCACCAAATTGCTCCAATTATTTGATCAACAGAAAAAATTCAAAGGGTGTGTCGACAAACGGCTGCACTTTCCATCATAAAGGCTGTGTTTAACACATCAGACGAGGACCTTGAGCTTATGTGTTAGTCATGATGATGACATTGTAAAATCATTATAGGTGACCGAGTCATCAAAACAGCTTCGACAGCAGATTACTGGTTACTCTGAGGTAATGCAGATTAGGAAAAAAAAAAAAAAAAGATTGTGTGTATCTCTTTTTTATTGGAAATGCCATTGATGTGCCAATGGAACAACTTTTGTCAAGGCCAATTTTTCACTACTTTTAGACACCTGAATTAGGGAGGTAAAAAAATCTTGATGGTTTTTTAAATGCACATTCACACTGGTGGAGCACCTTCATCCACTGTCATGGATGCTTTGGAAATAATAACAGCCTTCGAGACACTGATGCAGAAAACAGAGGGTGAAAAAAGACACACTAAAGCTCAAATTGTCTGACATGTTGTCTGTGTCTGAACGGGCCGGCTAGGAATCTTGCTTTCTTAGTCTCACCATCTAATTTGGCTGTGTTTGTGTGTGACAACCCATGCTGTGAGTGTGGCCACATGTGTCTCTGTTACAGTAGTTTACGAGTATGTATGGCGGCAGGATGACACCGAGGGCTGGCAGAGCAGATAGTTGGCACAGCAGTACCATGGATAGCTTATGCATTTGCATTCCTGCTTGTTTTTTGGCAAGCGTAGCAGTCTACTTAAGCCATTAAGTGGTTGTGTGTATCTGTCCATACCTCTATACTCACCGAGTTCTTTTTTTGCTTCCACAGACACAGAAAAACACATGCTAGCATATTAAATGTTGTAATGGCAGAATGCATGCTAAGCCTTTTTAGGCCTGTTGTGATCATTATTATGCTGACTTGACACACAATAATACGGAAGTTTCTGTGATACGTTTTGGTGGTTTATGCTGCCCAATATGTGCTTATGTTAGTTTACATAAAAAAATCTACAGTATTTCATCAGCATAAAGCTGTTTCTGTCATCTTGTCTGCTCTCTTTGTCTGAGGTGCAGACTCAAGTCAGGTGATATATCCATAAAAACGTTTTCCATCAGTTTTCTGAAGATTTTAAGAGTTCTTTTAGAGTTTGTATAAATTTCCCATTACTGTCAAAGTATTGAATCAACACAATTGCTATGAAACTAGGCTTCATCATTCAGCAAATGCAATAATTGTCACATTTCCTGGTATTTCAGAAATGGAAGTCATCATGGTTGCCTCAACTTGTGGATCAGCGAAACAAAAAAAAAAATTTTTTTTGTGTTCCTATTTGGTCAAATAATAAAAAAAACTAAACAATGTTGTTAAGAAGTTCAGAAAAAGGTAAATAAAAAGGCCACCTGAAGAGAGAACAAGATTTACTTTTCCACCCACAGACGCTGCATTACAAGCACCGTGCAAAAGAGGTCTTTTTTTTTTGATGCAAAGATGAATATATAGTACACAGTATAGCTTCATTAATGTAAATAAGTTATTAAAAAAAAACTTTCAAGGATTTATGACACTTAAAGTCTTATGAAAAGGGTCCATTGAAAAGGGAGCCTTGTGGTGCTCAGTTAATTTCAACACTTTGTTTCATTCATAAACTAATCTGCATTTTTAAATGATTGGTTTACTTTACACAATAATGAAAATTGTCACTTATTCTCCTTCTGCTTGTTTCAAAGTTGTTTGAGTTTATTTCTTATAAACACACACAAAGGAAGATATACTGAAGTATGTTGGAAAGCTGCATTCAATGACTTTTATAGTATTTTTGTTTTTACTGGGGATGTCAGTTGACTCATAATGTGTGTGTGTGTGTGTGTATGTGTGTTACAGGGTGCCACCATAAAGAAAGATGAACACACTGGAGCAATCTTAGTGGCGCGTATCTTAAGGGGTGGCGCAGCAGACAGAAGTGGTGAGCTCTATACTTAAATATACCCTGACAACACTCAAATGTTTAGTTGGAAGTTCGATATTGTTTATTATACTGAATAATCTGTGCTTTTTCCACTATTGCCATCCATTAATCTTTGTTGCATTCAGGGCTGATACATGTCGGGGATGAGCTAAAAGAGGTCAACGGTATCCCTGTAGATGACAAAAAACCTGAGGAAATTATTCGCATTCTGGTATGTGTGTGTGTGTCTGTGAGAAAAAAAAATCATAATGTCATTAGCAACATGTTTCTGTAATAGAATATTGTTTAGGATTTTATTCATCCAAAACTTTTTTGTACTGTAAACTTTTGAAGAAAGCTTTGTATTTTTTAGGAGATTATAGCAAAAGTTAAAAAATAAAATGTTGTTTCAAGCTCAGTTTCATGTATAATTATAAAATGAGATGTGCATATTCATTAACATATTTAATTGGTCTTTTTATTTGTTGAAAATGTTGTCGATAGTTTTCATTTTGTTTTTGTTTACAGTCCCAGTCACAAGGTGCCATCACATTTAAAGTGGTCCCAGGCATCAAAGATGAGGCACAAAGCAAGGAGCCCAAGGTACACAGTTCACTGCTGATCAGACATAACACACAGTTGGGGAGAGAGAAGGCTGATGTGAGATGTTTTACTCTGACAGTGGGGAGTTTTTCCTCCGTTCATGTACCACAGACTACGGCCTTGATGGATGAGCTTTCGTTCTCATCCATCTTTGACGCAAATGATTTGCACTAAACCCCTTAGCTCTCGTCCAGCTCCTGTCAATCTGTTCCTAAACCAGGAGAGCTGCCTCACAGCTTGCTGTCTACATGAAAACCTCAATAATGACTGATTTGAAATGTTCCACATGTGCAGAGACTCTTAGAAGTCAGTCACTCACACCACAAAAAAAAGTAAAGCCTGGTAATAGTGGATTCTCAGATCATTTTAAGGTAAAGACTTGATGCAAGTAATGTAATTAAATAATAAATACACTCAATGGCCACTTTATTAGGTACTAGTACCTGGTTGGACCCACTTTTGCCCTCAGAACTGCTTTAATCCTTTGTGGCATAGATTCAACAAGGTACTGGAAATATTCCTCTTAGATATTGATCCATATTGGCATGATAGTATCATGCAGTTGCTGCAGATTTGTCGGCTTCACGTCCATGATGTGAATCTCCCATTTTACCACATCCCAAAGGTGCTCTATTGGATTGAGATTACTATTTGAGTACAGTGAACTCATTGTCATGTTCAAAAAACCAGTCTAAAGTGATTCACGGTTTATGGTGCATTATCCTGCTGTGGTACACTGTGGTCATAAACATGGTCAGCAACAATACTCAGGTAGGCTGTGGTGTTGACACAATGCTCAATTGGTACTAATGAGCCCAAATTGTGCCAAGAAAATATCTCCCACACCATTACACCACAACCACCAGCCTAAGCCATTGATACAAGGCAGCATGGATCCATGGCTTTCATGTTGTTGATGCTAAATTTTGACTCTACCGTCTGAATGTTGTAGTAGAAATCAAGACGTATCAGACGTGGAAATATTTTTCCAATTTTGGTGAGCCTGTGCGAATTATAGCCTTAGTTTCCTGCTTTTAGCTGACAGGAGTGGGACCCGGTGTTATCTTCTGTTACTGTAGCCCGTCCACCTCAAGGTTCAATATGTTGTGCCTTCCGAGATGCTCTTCTGCACACCTCGGTTGTAACAAGTGATTATTTGAGTTAGTGTTGCCTTTCTATCAGCTCGGAGCAGTCTGGCCATTCTCCTCTGATCTCTGGCATCAACAAGGCATTTGCGCCCACAGAACTGCCGCTCACTGGATGTTTTCTCTTTTTCGGACCATTCTCTGTTGAGATTGTTGTGCGTGAAAATCCCAGTAGTTTTTGAAATGTGTAAACCAGCTTGTCTGGCACCAACAACCATGCCACGTTTAAAGTCACTTAAATCACCTTTCTTTCCCATTCTGATGCTCTGTTTGAACTGCAGCAGTTCATCTTGACCTTGACCATGAACAAATCAGTTTTAGCAGAGTTTTGCAGTGCATTCTGGCATTGCCATGTCAAAAAAAAATATATATATATATCATTTACATTTCTGCCAAAGCAGCATACATGTTGACATCTTGAATGGTAGCCACTGCTTTAGTCACAATCATTTGGAAATACTTCTAATTAATTGATTTGTTGTTTTAAGTAATGCTATCAATTTAAAATATGTATTTTTTTCTGTTTAATATTTTTGTAAAAATCATTAATTAAAGAATTTTACTGGTCCCTTGTTAATCCCATGATTGCGTTCTAAAAATAGCCTGCAAAAGGGGAATCCGTGAAGTAGTTGGATTTATTTTTTAACAGTTTTTTTACAATTATTATAGATGTTTGGCTGTAAAACCCCTCACTACACCCTTTTTACACTTTTCTCAGAGAGGCATTAACATTTTCACCCTTTTCTCTCCCGTTTAAACACTTGCATAACTTCTACCTTCCATTAGCATGTCCAGAAGTCCAACTTTTTATGCGATGGTTCGCGTCTTCCCCTTCCCTTTGTGTGCTACTGTGGGTGTCTTTGATGGTGTTGTTTCATGAACATAATGGGGTTTGTTGGGAGAAAACATGCAAACATACAGCACAGCACTTCAGTGTCACACTGCTAGCGATCAAAGATTTATGCAAATTTGGCAAGCTGAATGCATTCTCTACTGTACAGGAGACACATCACAGAGGAGATTGATTGTCAATGATCCACAGCCAATCAGGACGCAGAACACAATGCAATGTTAAAAAACAAAGCATGTCAAATTGCACTAAAAAAATCAGCAAAACTGTGAGAAGGTGTATCATTTTATAGCAAGGGACCACTGTATTTAAATGCTTTTAAAAATAAGTCTAAATTCAATGCAAAAAATAAATGACTGACTCCAGACTTTTGCACGTTCTGCTGTAAATGTTGGCAGTATTATTTCTTTGCAAGTCTGTTATATTCCTTTTACTGTGCAGTAATGATTTAAATATGTTTCTGTTTTGAATTCAGTTATAAGCTGCATGTGTGTGTGTGTGTGTGTGTTTTATCCAGTGACCGTAGTTTACTGTTTTCCGCACGTGTAATGAATATGTTGAAGTGCTGCTAATTGGCTGCACATGTGTATAAGGGATAAAAAAATGATGGAGTGCGAGACAGCGAGATGAAGCGTTCCCTCAGGATGTATTGGTGTGTTTGTGGGGAACGTTCTCCACTGTAACATCATTATTCTGTATGGCACACGCAGCTCTTTAAATCAACACAAGCCACTGCTCTATGCTTTTGGGAACTTTGCTGTCTCCTCTTGCTCTCAGTAGCTCTTTACTTTCTTATTTGTCTTATTTATTTATTTGAAACGTCTGCTCATTCACTCCAGTCCCCCAAACACCTCATGATCTCCTTTGTTAAGAGAAGCTCTAATGAGAATCACACCACATTTCCAACGGGATTTTAAGAGTGTATGTGTGGAAAATCAGTCTGCTACCCAAAATGCACCTTGATTTGGTCATGATTTAGAGAAGGGGGATGGAGCAGATGTGATTTGAATCTCATCCTTCTCTCATTTCAGTTTAATCCATTTAATGTTGTTCATTTTGAAGCTCTTTTCTCTCTCTCTCTTGCTTTTTAGATGTTTATAAAGGCGCTTTTTGACTACAATCCAGCTGAGGATAAGGCGATCCCTTGCAAGGAGGCAGGCTTGGGGTTCAAGAAGGGCGATATCCTCCAGGTTATGAGTCAGGATGATGCCACATGGTGGCAGGCCAAACTGGAGGGCGATGGCAACCTGCGCGCTGGCCTCATCCCTTCCAAACACTTTCAGGAAAGGTTAGCCAATGCTCCTCTGTCTTCCTCCCACTATCACCAGGTTTAAATTCAACAGCGCTCCATGAGTCCATCATTCTGTCCGCCCTCTGTCCAGCCCCCTCGTATATCATATTCTCCTGTCATGCATCCATCTCTCCGTCTCTCCATCATTCCAGACTTCTTCCACTCCATTACAACCTGACTTTCACTCCCTACTATGAAAGGAATGACTTTTCTGAGATTTTGTTTTTTGTCTTCCTCGTCATTTTTTTCCCTTTTTGTGCAAGAGGGCTCGGCCAAAATACTTTGGATTTCCGTGGCTGTCTGGCCTGGAATGAGTAATGACAGACAATGATAGCACTGGTTCACATCCACTTTGGACGTCCACGCATGGAAAATTGCACATCAGTTGCGTTCTGCGTAAAAGTGCAGTCTGATGTGCGTGCACATGTGCGCTGCCTTAGGAAATAGTTTCTTTGCTCTGTTTCTCTTGAAAAAGTAACTTTCAAAAGTAAAACACATTTTTGAACCTGTCAAATGTACAGTAGCTCGTGCTGTTTCTGGCTGATCTTTCGTTCTCGCTTTCTCTCTCACACACACACATTCACTAATGGATACTTATGCAGGTAGCACTGCATTGTAGTTAGGTGTTTAGTAATCCCCATATGGTAATAAAATCTGATAGGTTTATTGCATGTCTCTGTGTGACTACAGAATACGCTTGTCAATCTTTTTTGGAGTGTTATATTGCCATTATTATATTACCTTTACACATTTTGATTATAAATTATAGTGACTGATTTGATGAGCAAGCTGACACCTTTGCCTAGAATCACCCCTGTTTTTCACAGATTTATTTATTTTTTTTGGATCCAATTACTTACGCAAAGATGATTAATACAGCCCCAAACACTATGTGATTGCAAGCTCTCTAAATGCAACACTAGCTCTTTCTCTGTTGGTTTTAATTAGGCTAGAATTTTTAGATTTAAACAGTTAAAGCAGTTTTAGATTTAAACAGTTAAAGCAAATACAGTTAAAAAAATGTATAATTTCACAGTTATACTTTTTCTCATCAATAACATATCCATAGAAGCTGTCATGACCTTAAACATAAACAATCAAACTAGCTCTATCTTTCTCTTCACTTTCTTCAGGAGGCTTGCAGTCTGGAGACCCACGCCTGTCATGACACTTCAGAGGACCTCCAGCAAAAGATTTTGTAAGGACCACACTCATGTAGGCATGCAGCTACTAAAACAGACACTGAAATACACAAAGGGCTCTACAATATGTGTTTTTTTTGTTTTGTTTTTTTTTTTTGTAGTTTTTTTTATTTGATGGATGATTCGGCCCATTAGTAGTGGGAAAACAATAAAAGAATGATTGATTGTTAGCCATGGTGTGATTATTTAGGTCAAAGCAACTGAAAGTGATGTTATGTATACACATCTGAAGTACAATTAAGTTTTCCATAAATAATGTTTAACTTTTAACTTAAATATGTGGATCACACTAGATTTTAATGTCTAGTATAGACAGTTCGGTAATACTTTATAATAACTACCCACTATAAGTCATCTACTAAACATTAGCTAATAGTTGATTCATTATCTGTTAAGCATTAACTCTGATGTTAGTAAGCAGTTTATAACTGCAGATACAAATAAACAAGAAAGTAAGGGACTTTATTAATTTCTGTTCCTTTCAAGATACACAAATAAAATCTAAATCTAATAAAATTACTGTACAGTTATAATCACAAATCATGATATATTGTTAAATTATTATTTTGTTGTTGTTTTATCCAATTTTATGTATACTTTGACACTCTTGTTATTTTTAGATAAGATTGCTAAGATGTATTGTTTATTTAATACTGACCCTTTATTTATATTAAGATATAAATGTTGATTTGAATAGTTTATTAATCATTTACTAACTTATTCTGAATGAACACTTTTATCCTCACTGTCATCAAATTATTCTTGGCCCTTTTTGTCAACTCATTTACTACAAATATTTGTCCATTTGTTTTATAGAATATGAAATGACATTAATAAACACCTCCGTTCGAGAGTGTTAAAAGTGTTTTTTGCAGTTCAGACGAAGACATTTCTTTGCCGATTAAATATCATTACCTTGGTAATTAAAGCATTTTAATTTACATCCGAACATTTTTATTTACATAAACTAAAGTGCTCCTCAGTCAGGGGTCCTCAGTAATCTTTCAGTGGACTTCTATGCATATAAATAAATACATCATTACAAACATATTTAAAAAATGATTCACAATGCTTTTGCACCCACAAAAAGTAAAATTTTGATTAACTTGATACTTGTATATTCTTGAAATTATATAATCAACAAAATCAATAATTCCTAGTAATGATGTATTCAAGTGTACTGTAAACTAAGACAGATGAAATTAAGCAACTTTCTATTATTTGCAACAGAAATATCAGTATCTACTCTTTGTCTCTTGACACAAGTCATCTTATTGTTGAGCCTTGCACACACACTCATCCTTTTGTTTCTGGACTATAGCAGAATTTAATCTTTGAATTGTTGTATGCTAGATGCCAAAGCAATCCAGCCAAGACCCTTTGAAAAGAGCAGTACTCAAAAAATAAAGAGTAGAAGGAACAGCAACCGGAAAAGATTATAAGAGAGCTAGGGAAGGGTGGGAGGTGCAAGGTGAAGTGATCAGACAGGGACGCCCCGACTCGCCTGATTGGTGCCAGGCACATATAAATACACGCACACATGTGTATTCATGTACATATACATTAATGCACGCCTGGACATAAGCTTCCTCTTCTGGTTTCCATTAATCTCTCATGTCTGATTTTTGTATGCGTTTGTGTGTGCATATGTTTGTACACCACAGCTCTAATCGCTCCCATTGACTGACATCAGGGGTCCTTACAGATCTGTGCTGGGTTACTCTCTACACATGGGCACACTTAAAGCTCACCGCGAGACAGACGCACTGCAACACTCGACATGCTGCCGTCATCATACAACTACACACACACACACACACACACACACACACACACACACACATGATTGAATTAAACAGCCACTCTAGATTATTATGCCCAATGCCACATGCTCGGCCTCCCACCTTTTCCATATTTCTCCATCACTTTGTCGGCCAGCTGCTCAAAACAAAGAAAAGGAAAAGTTTTGTGTCACCGAGGTATTGATGTTGATGATTTTTCCAGGACCACCCCAGGTGTCATGAAACCGCCATTATTTTTCACAGACTTTATACATTTCACATAGTGATATTAAACTTTAGTTGTTACATTACAGAATAACATCATACGTTGAATTTGCACATTCCTTTTTTATTATTATATATTTTCTAATTTTAATACTTCAAACATTTCGAAGAACATATAAAGAGTATACACCAGTGGTCTCAAACTACCGGCCCACGGACTGCCCTCCTCCCCCCTCCGGCCAGCAACTGACGTCAAAAATATACAGCGATCCCGCAATTCAAGTCTCATTTAATAGACTTTCCTCATATGCTTATTAAGGTATGCATAAAAACTATGTACATTAGTAAAATTGTACCTTTGGTTGAATTTAACTTGTTAAAGTAAATGTGATATGTACATACTTTCCCCTCTGTTATAGTTTTACAAAAAAACAAACAAACAAACAAACAAAAAAGATATTGAGAAGAACATCAACTGCCAGTAAAGTCACTTAAGCTACCCACAACTGCTTTCTGCTGCTACGCGATTGGTTGGGTCAGAATATTAATTTTATAGACGATGCATTAATTACGTCAGATTTCCACCTTTTTTCTTGTGCTTGAATGTTAAAACGGCCCACTTATGAATTTTCAGTCACTGAAATGCCCCCCTGCCAATTTGAGTTTGAGATTCCTAGTATGCACATATGCTATAAAATTACCAAATGATAATCAATGGACATTACAGCCATATGAAACCATATAAATCCAGCGGAGCACCACACAGAAATGCCTACTGGCCTAACTGGCACTCGAACCAACAACCTTCTTGTTGTGAACCAATAAGCCATCGTGCTATCCATTTTGGTATAATCATCTTCAAATTATTTTTATTTATCATTAACCAAAACCTTAGGAAAGTGTCAGATTTGAAAAAAAACTTTTTTTTTATTTTAATAAGTTGGACTTTCTAATATACTGTGTAAAAAAAACAATTATACAAGTCCAGAGAGAAAAAGATGGACAATAGTATGTTCATTTCTGTCTTGAGCTGAATCAGACTGCTGTATATACATGTCAATGCAAACACAGGTGCACAGTAGATGCACATTAGTGTGCTTATATGAAAGATATTTTGTTTGTTTGAAGCTGCTCAACTGCGCGCTTTAAGTGTAAGTCCATCTGTCTACTGGCCTGCAGTGTGATGACGTTAGCCCATATTTCAAAGAGCAGTGACTAGGGGCTCTTTTTGGATGAATGAACACATGCTGGAGCTTTGTGCTGCAGATATGAGTGCTCACATAAACCCTGACTTATCAGAAGAGCATGACAGCATCACTACCTGATGTTTTATGTCATATCCATTACAAACTCCTAACCTCTGGGCAGGTATAGAGAGAGTAAAACTTTAAGGCTTGCTATGGTCAAATTATGTCTAAGTCATGATTTATAAGCATTGAAATAGCATGCAGAGGATTCATAGAAATAGTACTTTCTTTTCAAACTTGGCTAAACTGAATTGTGACTTATCTTTCTTCACATTTCCACATTATACATACAATTTAGCTGGGTAAACAATTATTGAAAATTCTTCTGCTGACATTTCACTTCATACATTTCTAAATCTTGACTTTATGTTCTTATACATCTTGGCTCTGTCCTTGAGCATCCTCAAATCATTTCTTACCAACTGACTAATGACAAAAGGACTATAAATGGTCTTTTTTGAGTTCTGTTGTCCTTTTTCTTGGTCAATATTTGAAAATGTTTCATTAAAAATGCTGGAACTTTTTCTTTACTCAACACAGACAGTTTCTGTGTCTGTAAAAAGTATGTACATATAACATTTGCAAGTATCTGTAACTTTAATTTTGACACCACAAAGCTAACAGGAGAAAAGTGGTATTAACTCTCAAGCAGGGTTTCATAATCTTGGATAAAGAAATCCTGCACAAATAAGCAAAAATATACAATCCCAAATCAAAAAAGGTTGGGACAGTATGGAAACCGCAAATAAAAAAAGATAGTAATAATTTCCAAATTTACTTTTACTTACATTTCACTGCAGACAATATGAACACTAAATATTTTTTTTTATGTTATGTCTTCATTTTATTTATAAATATACATCCTTTCCTGGCATTTAGACCTGCAACACATGCTAAAAAATGCTGGGACAGGAGCAGTTTAGGGCTGGTAACCAAGTAAATTGGTTAAAAAATGATTTGATTTGCAACAGGTGATGTCAACAGGTGATTGTAATTTTGATTTGGTAAAAAAGCAGCATCCAAGAAAGTTCTAGTCCTTTAGGAGCAAAGTACATGCAAGGATCGGCAGTTTGTCAACAAATCTGTGAGAAAATTATTGGTATGTTTAAAAACATGGAAACAATGTTGCTCAAGGAAAGATAAGAAGACAAATGGATATTTCACCTTTTACAGAGCATAACATAATTAAAAGACTTAAAGGATCTGGCAGAATATAAATGCGTAAAAAAGACATGGGTGCAAGTCAAAGCCAAACAAGCGTGATCTCTGATTCCTCCAGCAGCACTGCATCAAGAATTGTCATTCATCAATATGCGATATCACGACATGGGCTTAGGACTACTTTGGCAAACCTTTGTCAAGTACCACAATATAAAGTTACATCCACAGTTGCCAATTAAAACTGTACTGTGCCAAAAGGAAGCCCTATGTTAACTGTGTCCAGAAGTGCCATCGACTTCTTTGAGCTTGGAGGCATCTAGGATCAACCATCACAGTGGAAACATGCACTGCCAATAAGAAAATAGGTATTTTAGGTGTTTCTTGGGAGAAATTGATGCCGTGTGCTCTGGACCAACGAAGAAATGGATCATCCAGACTGTTAGCAGCAATAAGTCCAAAAGCCAGGGTCAGTCATGGTATGGGGTTATGTCACTGCCCTTGGCAAAGGTAATGTGCACTTCTGTGATGGCACCATTATTGCTAAAAAGTACATAGAGATTTTGGAGCACAACATGCTGCCTT